GAAGTGTTCAGAAAGGCCCTGCTCCGCGAGTTTGGGCTGACCCCTGAAATGTACCGGAAAAGGTTCCGGAATCAGCGTAAAACCCGTGAGGTCACATACCTACAACTAGCCAACCGGGCACAGGGGTATGCCTGCAAGTGGACAGCTGGGGCCCAAACTAAAGAGGACCTGCTTGACCTATTCGTACTGGAGCACGTGTATGAGCAGTGCCCATCCGACCTGAGGCGATGGTTGATGGACCAAAAGCCAGAGAACCCGCAGCACGCAGAACAGTTGGCCGACGAGTTTGTGAACAGTCGGGCAGGGGATAACAGGGAGGAGTCCCAAAGGAACAGTCCCACCACAACGCAGAGCGAGAGTCACCATGGGACCTCCCAGCGGGGAAATATGGAGAACCCCCATCAAAGGGGAACATCTGGCGTCAGGTCCATCCGACCCGCTCGAGGGGACCCACGGGACAAGGGCTGCTATCACTGTGGCCAGAGAGGCCACATACGGGCCCAGTGCCCCAGGCTCAGGGACAGACTGAGCAGACCAAACCTACAGAGGGTTGACTGGGTAGAGACCCAGCCAGGCGAGAGGCAGCACTCCCAGGGAAGGGGGGCTGGCAGAATACCACCTGCTAAGGAGGGAGGAGAGCTCCAGGCCAGCTCCTCTGGGGGGCTGGATGCTCCAGACTCAGGGTTTTTGGTTTATACGGTGGGCGTGGGGCGGTCCCTCCGGAGAGAGTACCTTGTTCCTCTGGAGGTGGATGGGAGGAAGGTCAATGGATACTGGGATACGGGCGCAGAGGTGACGCTGGCCCGGCCCGAGGTGGTGGCCCCAGATCGGGTGGTGCCCGACACCTACCTGACCCTGACAGGGGTGGGTGGGACCCCATTCAAGGTGCCCGTGGCGAGGGTACACCTGAAGTGGGGGGCCGAGGGCCCCAAGGATGTAGGGGTGCACCACCATTTGCCCACTGAGGTGTTGATGGGGGGGGACCTGAAGGACTGGCCAAGCAACTCCCAGGGTGCCCTGGTTGTGACCCGCAGTCAGAGCCGGCGAGGGGCACTGCGCCCTGGCCTTGGGGAGGGTGCCTTGCCCGAGGCGCAGGACCCTAACCTGGTGGGGAGGGAACACCCAGGGACACGGCTCAGGGAGGCTGCGGCTTCAGGCCCAGCCGGCGAGAGAGAGCAGGTGGCCATCCCTGTCCCAGCTGCTGAGTTCCAGGCCGAGTTGCAGAAGGACCCCTCCTTGCGGAAGATAAGGGACCTGGCCGACCTCGGTGCGGTACAGACCATGGGGAGAGGTGGCCGGAAAAGGTTCCTGTGGGAGAAGGGGTTCCTGTACCGAGAATGGGCTCCCCCAGGGGAAGTGGAGTCCTGGGGGGTCAGGAGGCAGCTGGTTGTTCCCCAGAAGTTTCGCCACAAGCTACTGTACCTGGCCCATGACATCCCTCTCGCAGGGCACCAGGGAATCCGGCGCACCAGGCAGAGGCTGCTACGGAGCTTTTACTGGCCTGGGTTCTTTACTAATGTCCGACAGTACTGCCGATCCTGTGACCCCCGCCAGAGGGTGGGGAAGGCCCCGGACAAGGGGAAAGCGGCGTTGAGGCCTTTGCCCATCATAGAGGAGCCTTTCCAGAAGGTGGCCATGGACATAGTGGGACCTCTCAGCAAGACGACCCGGTCGGGGAAGAAATACATTCTGGTGGTGGTAGATTTCGCCACCCGCTACCCCGAGGCAGTGCCCTTATCGTCCATCGAGGCAGACACTGTGGCAGATGCGCTGCTGACCATTTTCAGCCGAGTGGGGTTCCCCAAGGAAGTCTTGACAGACCAAGGGTCTGACTTCATGTCGGCCCTACTCCGGTGCTTGTGGGAGAAATGCGGGGTCCGGCACAGCTGGGCCTCAGCGTATCACCCCCAATCCAACGGGCTGGTGGAGAGGTTCAACGGGACACTAAAGATGATGCTAAAAACATTTATGAACCAGCACCCGCAGGACTGGGACAAGTACTTACCTCACCTGCTGTTCGCGTACAGGGAGGTACCCCAGGAGTCTACCGGGTTTTCACCTTTCGAACTGTTATATGGAAGGCGAGTAAGGGGGCCCCTAGACCTGATTAGAGACGAATGGGAGAGGAAGGCCACTCCCGATGGAGAGTCGGTGGTGGAGTATGTCCTGACCTTCCGGGAACGACTTGCCGAGCTCATGGGCCTGGCCAGGGAGAATCTGGCCAGAGCCCAGAGGAAGCAGAAGGTCTGGTATGACCGCACAGCGCGGGCCCGCGCCTTCGCCACCGGGGATCAGGTGATGGTTCTCATCCCCGTGAGGAAAAACAAACTCCAGGCCGCCTGGGAAGGGCCCTTCAAGGTTGTCAAGCAACTAAACGAGGTAAACTATGTGGTGGAGCTGTCGAACCGGGCACACCACCACCGGGTGTACCATGTGAATATGATGAAGCCATATTATGACAGGGGGAATGTGGTGTTGACCGTGTGTGGACATTGGGAGGGGCAGGGAGATGACCCTTTAGTAGATCTATTCCCTGGGACAAGAGCTGGCTCCCCCCGGAAGCAATTCCCCTCTCTGATTCCCTGACCCCGGCCCAGCAAGCTGAGATCGGAGGGGTGCTGCATCTGTACCAACGGCTGTTTTCCAACCAGCCTGGACGCACTAATCTGACTGTCCACCGGGTACAGACAGGATCACACCCGCCTATAAAATGCTCCCCCTTCCGAGTCACGGGGAAAACTGCTCAGGACCTGGAAAGAGAGGTCGGGGACATGCTGGCTTTGGGGGTGATCCAGCCGTCTTCCAGCCCTTGGGCCTCGCCGGTGGTGCTGGTCCCCAAAAAGGACGGGTCGATCCGGTTCTGTGTGGACTATTGGAAGCTCAATGCCATCACTGTAGCCGATGCCTACCCCATGCCCAGGCCTGACGAGCTCCTAGACAAGCTGGGAGGCGCTCGGTACCTGACCACCATGGATCTTACAAAGGGCTACTGGCAAGTGCCGCTGGATGCCGATGCCAGGCTGAAATCGGCCTTTATCACCCCTCTGGGGCTCTATGAGTTCCTAACCCTGCCTTTCGGCCTCAAGGGAGCGCCGGCCACCTTCCAGCGCCTGGTGGATCGGCTACTGAGGGGGATGGAGAGTTTTGCCGTGGCGTATATTGACGATATCTGCGTCTTTAGCCAGACCTGGGAGGACCATGTGTCCCAGGTTAGACAAGTGCTGGACCGACTCCAGGAGGCTGGGGTGACCGTAAAAGCTGAGAAGTGCAAGGTGGGGATGGCTGAGGTATCCTACCTAGGTCACCGGGTGGGGAGCGGCTGCCTAAAGCCGGAACCAGCCAAAGTGGAGATGATCAGAGACTGGCCCACTCCGCAAACCAAAAAGCAGGTCCAGGCCTTTATTGGGATGGCGGGGTACTATCGAAGGTTTGTGCCCCCCTTTAGCTCCATAGCCGCCCCTATCACTGAACTGTGCAAGAAGGGGAAGCCAGACAAGGTGGTCTGGACCGAGGAGTGCCAGGAAGCGCTCTGGGCGCTGAAGGAGGCTCTGGTCAGCGGCCCAGTTCTGGCAAACCCAGACTTTGACAAGCCCTTTATGGTGTTCACCGACGCCTCAGACACGGGACTGGGGGCAGTGTTAATGCAGGAGGATGAAAAGGGGGAGAGACACCCGATCGTGTACCTGAGCAAGAAGTTGCTACCTCGGGAGCAGAACTACGCGGCCATCGAGAAGGAATGCCTGGCCATGGTGTGGGCCCTCAAGAAACTAGAGCCATATCTCTTTGGGCGACACTTCACCGTGTACACCGACCACTCTCCCCTGACCTGGCTGCACCAGATGAAAGGAGCCAACGCCAAGCTCCTGAGGTGGAGCCTGCTCCTGCAGGATGATGACATGGACGTGGTCCATGTGAAGGGAAGTGACAACCTGATAGCGGATGCGTTGTCCCGGAGAGGGGGCCTGGAACTTCCCCAGGTCACTGGTCAGAGTGACCCCGCTCAGTTCAGTCTCGAAGGGGGGAGAGATGTGATGGAGCAGGGAGTGGGGCGGATTTGACCTGGGAATGTAGCCTGGGAGTTACATTGAGCTACCTGAGCTGTAACCTGAGCCAGGAGGGGGGTGGGAGAGGTGACACCTTCTGCCCCGAGACCAACAAAGGAGAGGAGGGGCAGAGGGGAGGGGGGAGAGAACTGCTGGAGGGATTTGAGAGTTCTTCAGTTTGGGGCTGGGAGGTGCAACGCAGGGAACCCCAAGCTGGGGTCTAAGCTCCCTGAACCCCCCAAAAGGACTTGATTGAGGGGTCCTGGTTGTATCTACAAGCTCGGCTGTAGACTGTGTTCCTGTTATCCAATAAACCTTCCGCTTTACTGGCTGGCTGAGAGTCACGGGGAATCGCAGGAAGCCGGGGGTACAGGGCCCTGAGTCCCCCACACTCCGTGATACAACCCCCTTCCACTCTCTGCCCCATGGTGCCCTCCTCTGAGCCCCCATCCCCCTCTTCCCCATGGTGCCCCCTCTGATCCCCGCCCCATGGCGCCCCCTGCAAACTCCTTCCACTCTCTGCCCCATGGTGCCCCCCTCTGACTCCCCCATCCCCCCTTCCCCACGGTGCCCCCCTCTGACCCCCGACCCATGGCGCCCCCCACTGTGCCCCTCACACTCGGCCTTGGCGCAGATGAGGCTGGCCGAGGGGTAGTTGAAGGACTGCAGGATCCGGGCCAGGGCCAGGCTCAGGTCCTCGTTGCTGGGGTAGAGGCTGACGGAGGCGAAGCGAAGATACTGCAGCCGGGGGGTCTCCTCGGGGCCCACCTTCACGTGGGGGATCTGGGGGGGAGCGAGAGGGTCAGGACCCGGAGGGGGCGTCGGGCCGGGGGGAAGCACTGGAGATGTGGGGAACAAGGGAGCAGTGGGGTGATGGGGCGCAAGGGGAGGGGCAAGGCTCTCCCCTGTATTCAGCGGGTCCCGCCCACCCCCCATTTACCTCCTTCTCCCCACAGATGTGGCTGACGGTGGCGGCCGAGGCTGGACTCGATGCGGGACCCAGAACCGACACCACCCCTTTGGGCAGGATCTGGCACACTGTGGGGAGAGAGCGTGTGTGGGGAATGCCGGCCAGCCAGGCCCTCGCACACCCACCCTCGCACACGCACCCACACACGGGCACCTCCCCCACAATCATACCCTTGCACACTCACATGCCACCCCCACATGTGCATGCTCACCATTGCACACCTACCCTCGCACACGTGTGATCCTGCCCCCACAAACACACACCCTGCGTACGCTTGCTTGCACACACACACTTACACACAACCCTTGCACACTCGCCATTGCATGCCCACCCTCACACATGTGCACTCCTCCCTCCACAAGCATACATGTCCTGCACAATTACCTTTGCATACCCACCCTCATACACACACCCTGACACACTCATGCTTTCATACACATCCTCCTCTTGCCACAAACATACATGCCCTGTCCATTCACACTCATAGACTCAGAGACTCAGAGACTCACATGCTTGTCTGTCCATGAATGCACACTCATCCTTCCACACAGTCCCATCCTTGCACACCCACCTTGCACACTTTTCCTTCCACAAACACACCCCCTCATCTTTGCACATGCCCACTCACCCTCACTCTCCTGCTGTGATGCAGTGGGAATGTTCATAATGTTTCTCTGAATACTGTGGGTGCCTCAGTTTCCCCTGTGTGTCAGGTACTAGGTGGGGGGCTCAGGGGGTGTGATTGGTGCAGCGACCCGCCCGGCCACGCTCAGAACCTGCTCACCGATGGCTGGAGCTTGGCCCTGCAGAGCCAGCCGGGGGTCCTGGTGCCACCCAGGGGACCTGCTGTCCCGGGCAAGGGGCAAAGCCTGGAGAGGGGCAGCGGGTCGTTGCTAAGGCTGGGCTGCGGGAAGCGACTCAGTCTCCTGGTCTGGGGGGCACCCGGGGCTCTGGGTCCCCCCCAAACAGACTTTGCTGCAGGCCCCTGGTCTCACAAGCTCTGTTCTACGCTGGGTCCCCACGTCGGGGTCACTCGCTGCCTGGGAGTCGCTGCCGGGGGGCAGGGCCCTTTGGGGGTATGTGAGGCTCCCCAGGGCCCCGTCCAGGGGGACTCACTGCGGGGGGGCCGGGGTGAGCAGGGGGCCAAACGCTCCGAGGTCGGACCCAGGAGCCCCCGAAGCCAAGCAGGCTCCTGGCCCTGGTGACAGGTGCCCTGCGGGGGGGGGGGGGGGGGCGCTGCCCCAGAGCCCTGCCTGGCTTCACCCGGAGGCCCCCCAACCCCGTGCCGGGACCCCGGGACCCCTGCACTCTGACCCTTCCACACACACCCTTTGGACACGCCCCCTACGCACACAAACGTTCACACTCCCCATCACCTCAGTCTCCTGCACACTCCCAGCACACGCTCACATCCATTCTCCTCCTTGCACACTTGTGCCTGGCACATGCCCATGTCCCTGATTTCACACAGATCATCCCCACCCAGTGAGGGCTGGGCCCACGTGTGCATATGCATCTTGCACACCCAACCGTGACTGGCCTGGGGGAATCTCATGCTCCCAGCCCCGTTGGGTCAAGGACTCACCCTCATCTACTCACACTCCCCATACCACGATGGCCTTGGAGAGGTGCTTTTGGACTAACCAGCCTTGTGCACACTCCCCCTTGCACATTTCCCTCATGTGTTTACACACTCAGTTACATGGGGTCACCCCCTCACACACTGAACACTGGCACATGCAATGGTGTTGGCAGACTAGTCCTGGCTACCCCTTGCACACTCACCCCTCGCACATGTACTGGTGTCAGTGGTCTCACACGCATGCTCCCTTTGCACGCTCAACTCCCTGTGCTTGTCTCTTGCACACACGTCCCCTCGCACACATATTGGTGCCAAGGGTCTCACAGGCCCCCTTGCACACTACTCCCCATGCATCTCTCCTCAAACACGTATGCCCCCTGCACATGTCCTGGTGTCAGTGGTCTCATGCACGCCCCCTTGCACACGTCCTGGTGTCAGTGGTCTCATGCACACCCCCTCGCACACATTCTGGTGTCAGGGGTCTCACAGGCCCCCTTGCACACTACTCCCCAAGCATCTCACCTCGCACACGCACACCCCCCACACACATACTGGTGTCAGTAGTCTCATGCACGCCCCCTCGCACACGTACTGGTGTCAGTGGTCTCGTACTGGCTGTCGCGCTGCAGTTCGAAGATCTCGACCTCCACGCGGGCCTTCGCCGGCACCTCGATGATGCCGTTGATGTGCTCCCGGGCCAGGGCCAGGGCCAGCCGCTCCCCGCGCCCACACACCGTCTGATCGTCCAGGATCGCAGCTGGGGGGGCACACAGCCGGGGGGGGGCGCGTGGGTCCAGAGACACCACAGACACCCCTCCCCCACCACTGAACTCGCCCCATCCTCAGCCACCTCCCATGGCCTCCTCCCATCCACAGCCCCTCACTCCCGACCCACAGCCCCCGCCCCCCGGCCCTGGGCTCCCCACAGCCCTGCCGGTGCCCCTCACTCCCGACCCGCAGAGCCCTGCCCCCCAGCCCTGGGCTCCCCCCCAGCTCTGCCGGTGCCCCTCACTCCCGACCCGCAGCCCCTGTCCCCCCGCCCCGAGCTCCCTGGGGCGCCTCACCCATGCGCAGTGACGACAGCACCTGCAGGCTCAGGCGGGCGAAGCTGACGATCAGCAGCAGCAGCAGCGCGGGCGACGTCGGCATCTTCCACCCTCCTCATGGGGAACGTCGCCGCGGCCCCGGCTGCCACCTGTGGGGGGGGAGTCACATGGCAGAGCGCCCACTAGTGACCCCCCAGAGCGCCCCCTTGTGACCCCCCGCACAGCCCCCTCTACTAACTGCCTGCCCCACAGCGCACCCTACGGACCGCCTGCCCCACTGCACCTACTAGTGACCCCACAGCGCCCCCTACTGACCGACCGCCCCACAGCGCCCCCTAGT